ACTTTCTACTCAACCCCTGGCTGGTGAAGGTGCTGCAAACAAAGCATGCAGCAATCACATCCGTTCTCTCTAAGCATGTCCGATACCAAGAGAGACAGTTATAGCGTTGAGTTGGTGACCATGACGAACGTCTCTACCGCGCCTAAACGCGAGAAACCAACACTACAACACACCGCGACATATAGATACGTGCCCTCCCCACTCACGCTTGAGCGTGCCCGCCCGCCCATTTCCTAAAAAAATTCATCGTGTTGCGCAAAATCCACAGCCGTAGCTGCTCCTTCCGGGAATAACTCCGTTTTTTTTTGTCAAATTGGAAATCGGAAAAAAATCATCGGTGGCCATTCACGAGAGCTGTCCAAATCCGGTCTCAGATTTTGTGTCTGCAAAAAACANGAAATCATCGGTGGGACATCACGAGAGGAATCGATTGCAGCACTTTATTTTTGAATCGTACGGTTGGATTGTCCCCAAGAAACTAAGCAAAATACCCTTCAATATCCGGTTTTTTGCCCATAACTCCGTTTTTTTTTGTCAAATTGGAAATCGGAAAAAAATCATCGGTGGCCATTCACGAGAGCTGTCCAAATCCGGTCTCAGATTTTGTGTCTGCAAAAAACACCGCCCTCCAGAAAGTAAGCAAGATTTTTTGCATATCTGAACATATCGAGCGAAGGACGAAAAAAAAAAAANCAGATTTTGTGTCTGCAAAAAACACCGCCCTCCAGAAAGTAAGCAAGATTTTTTGCATATCTGAACATATCGAGCGAAGGACGAAAAAAAAAAAAAATCTCTGTGCGAAGATGCGCCGTGAAACGTCGATTTACGCGGTATTTTCAGATTCCGGAGTAAGTATCCCCACCCCGAGAAAAGTGCACCTTTGTGCAGGGGAAAATATTGTGAATATTTGCCCGAACGGACCATAGGGCGAAAAATGTACACCTGCGACGGTGACGGCAGCGGATTGCTGAGGATGGGATCATGCAGCTTGGACGCCTGACGAAGAGCTTCCTTTGGTCGAGGATTATCCACCGCGATGCCGTGAGTGTTCCCTCGGACGTCGTACAGGATCAGCCTAAGGTCNGCGAAAAATGTACACCTGCGACGGTGACGGCAGCGGATTGCTGAGGATGGGATCATGCAGCTTGGACGCCTGACGAAGAGCTTCCTTTGGTCGAGGATTATCCACCGCGATGCCGTGAGTGTTCCCTCGGACGTCGTACAGGATCAGCCTAAGGTCCTCCTGCACATCAGACAGAGCCTCGTAGACAGGGTTTCCCGTCGAAGCGTATACCCTAAACCTAAGTTGCTGTTCCTCCTGGCCGGCATGGTTGCTGTGCCGTTGCGGAGGGTGTTGCTTGACAGCGTGGGGCGCAGATATATCGAGAACGAGTAGAGAACGGAATCGTACTACGTCTACTATTCGTGCCCCCCCCCCATATTTCCTTTGCGCTAACAACAAACTCTACATGCGTTCCCTCAACTGGTATGCGTTCACCCTAAGAACTTCACCCCACAACAGCTCCAACGACGCCCGCTACCTCTAGCAACACAGCGNAGGGTTTCCCGTCGAAGCGTATACCCTAAACCTAAGTTGCTGTTCCTCCTGGCCGGCATGGTTGCTGTGCCGTTGCGGAGGGTGTTGCTTGACAGCGTGGGGCGCAGATATATCGAGAACGAGTAGAGAACGGAATCGTACTACGTCTACTATTCGTGCCCCCCCCCCATATTTCCTTTGCGCTAACAACAAACTCTACATGCGTTCCCTCAACTGGTATGCGTTCACCCTAAGAACTTCACCCCACAACAGCTCCAACGACGCCCGCTACCTCTAGCAACACAGCGCACGGTGTTGACTCGTGGCCTTTCTTTGGTGGAAGAAATGAGTGGTGTCGTAGATAAGGCTTAACCACGACACCCCCCCCCACTGTATGGGCCGCCGTGGCCCTCGGATATAGGCGTTTCACTGCACCAACCGGATGAACTTCACCTGCCACCGATTCCAACGACACTCGCTACCTCTGGCGACACAGCACACATAGTTTGGTGTCGATTCGTCGCCTTTGGTTGAAGAAATGAATGGTGTCATAGATAAGGCTTAACTACGACACCACTCTCGGGGCGGCCGGACTCCTGCGGGTGACGGTATCTCCGCAGGCCGATGCAGCCGAGTAGCAGCTTCCGTGATAGCTAAAGATCGTGGCTTTCCGATAAAGTCGGTTTTACTGACATTGAAACTCTGTGCGCTGAGATGCGGGTAGTGTCGTATCTAATCTTATCTACGACACCACCCCCCGGGGCGCCGTGGCCCTCGGATGTAGGCGTTCCACCTGACCCACCGGATGAAATTCACCCGCCACCGACTCCAACGACGCCCGCTACCTCTAGCAACACAGCGCAAATGGTTTGGCGTCGAGTCGTGGCCTTTGGTCGNTGTGCGCTGAGATGCGGGTAGTGTCGTATCTAATCTTATCTACGACACCACCCCCCGGGGCGCGTGGCCCTCGGATGTAGGCGTTCCACCTGACCCACCGGATGAAATTCACCCGCCACCGACTCCAACGACGCCCGCTACCTCTAGCAACACAGCGCAAATGGTTTGGCGTCGAGTCGTGGCCTTTGGTCGGGGAAATGATTGGTGTCGTCGTAGTTATGCGCTAACCTACGACAACACACTCGGGGCGGTTGGACCCCAGTGGATGATCGTATCCCCGCAACCAGCGGGCTGATCTAGCCAAGTAACGGCTTGCACGATAGCTGAGGATGGTGTAAACCCATTCGAGTCGGTTTTACGTTGATTCACGCCCGAGATGCGGGTGATGTCGTAGTTAACCTTATCTACGACACCACCCTGTGGCACCACCGTTAACCCGTGGGTAAGCATATCTCGGCTGACACAGGTCCGATTGAGGTCATCGACGGCTCTAACGATAGCTGCGGGTCGTAGCAAGGTAGGGTGAGTAGTTCTGGGCTGCTGTGCGCTCATTGGGTCGACGTAGACCACGTTTGGAGGTATATTCCGAGCTCACGATACTGCTGTGCCCCTTCCTGAGTCTGTAACTCCAGAACCACCCAGTCGAATGAGATGTCAAAGTACTTGCGCGATTGCTGCGGGCCGTGGCTACCTAACGAAGTCAGTTGTACGACGATTAAAGCCCTGTGGGCTGAGATATGGCCTGATACCTGAGAGGACCCTCCCTGTGATGCTGCGGAACCCCCATTTCCGACGATATCTCCACAACCACGTAACGGATTGCGCTGAACAAGAGCTTGAATGGTAGCCACGGGCGATGGTATTCCAACGAAACTACTTAGACGTTTGTTAGAGCCCTGCTGGCTGAGATATGGCGTTGCAACGAACCTGATTTGACCCTCATTGGAAGCCTGTGGGCTGAGAAATGGCAGCCTACTTCCAGGGACCCAGGCCGTGATGCTGCGGAACCTCGTTTCTCGATGATATCTTCTCAACCGTGTGGCCCCTGGGGTTGAAACACAGCTTGCGTGATCGCTACGAGCCGTGGCGTTCCAACAAACCTAGTCTGACGTCATTTGGAGCCCTCTGAGCTGAGATCCGGATGGTGTCGTAGTTAAGGATTTACGACACCGGTGTCGTATTTAGCATTACCGTACGAAAAAATACACTGGAAAGTGTTGCACAGTGCCGGCCCGCACTTTAGAACTTCCTATATTGGGCGAGGCTCAGTTATTATTGGCGGCCCCAACCCGAGCACCAGTTCTTTTTTGCCAAGTTCTTATTTCGTCGTCCATTCTTCTCCAGAAAGGGGCGTTCTTGTTCTTACAGTATATTAACATCATTTGCTATATTGTCGGCTGTCAACCATGAGCAACAACACTAGTACTGCTGTCGATACAAGAAAATACCAAGGCATGGAGCAGCAACTGTCAACCATTTTGGTCCACAAGGGTGACGTTGGTCCTGCGTACCCTTCCTGATCTACTAATGCTCTCAAGAAAAACCCAGGAGCCTACAGCCGCATCCAAATCTCCGCTGTACTTGTCTGAGGGCAACTTCATCTTGCGCGTACTCTGGTCTAGCTCCAGCTGCACACAGTAGTCGTACAGGTGGCGAGTGTCCTTCTGATATTGTTGAGTGATCAGCCCTCCAAATCACCCCATGCCCACCCTAACGAGCACTCCACGCCGTAAAAGCAATCTGTCAAGAGCAACGGGTTTAGCTTCTTGAATACGAAAGCCTGCCGGGATCTTCATTCCCTGTATCTCATCCTCCGGGTCTTGTGGGTCCACGCTGTCGTCGTCGTCCAGAAGAGCTAGGTCGTCGGTCTGGGGTTGAGAGATGTCTGCGAACGAGGCAACGGGAAACACAAGAAGTTAGGGTGTCACATCGCCAAACTCAACCTGAACTTATCATAATTTGAGTGTAGCCGTGCGCGGAAACAAGCTAACGTCAACATGAAGGACATCGTCATCAACAAAAAGAAGATGAAGAGTTGGTTTTGTGCAAAACAAACTTACCGCCGTCGTCTTCATCGCTGGAGTCAACGCCCTCCATGAGCGTCTCACGTCCTCCATCGCCCTCCTCCTCCCGCCCCTCAGGCTCATCGTTGCCGTTCTCCGAACCTTGTTCGTCGTCACCACTGTCTTCATCGTTAGCGAAGGTATACGGCTCGTCCAAACCCTCCAAGGTGATTCGATCATCGCCCGAGCCGTCCACGGTCATGGCCATCCCGCACTTTTCGAAAGGACGGTATCGGTACGCCTGTTGGCTGTTGAGTCTTGCCATGGCCGCTCCCATCCACTGAGTGATCAGGACGCGCCGATCAGANGTCCACGGTCATGGCCATCCCGCACTTTTCGAAAGGACAGTATCGGTACGCCTGTTGGCTGTTGAGTCTTGCCATGGCCGCTCCCATCCACTGAGTGATCAGGACGGGGCGATCAGAAGCTGTCAGCGACGCGGTTTCCTACCTCTCGAGGTTGTCCGACTGCTCGAGCCATATGTCCATCTTCCTCCCGACTTCCACCTTGAGAAATGGTCCGGCTCCTGCATCAGCTGGCTGCACCTCGTCTGTGCACTCCGAAGGGCTATACCAGGCGAGAGTGTTGCAGTGCTTCGAACTCGTCCGTGGTCTGCGCGTGCAAGTTATCCATGATAAGAATCGACCTCGCCTTGGGGAGCTCACCCCGCCCGCGCATCAGGCCTTCGCGGTAGGACCTCTTCGCCCACTCCATGCAGAACTTTTGATCGGCCCACGCGTTCTCCTGGAAAAACACGTCCACGTCCTCGTGATACGCTGCCTTCTCCACCGGCGAGATCCGCTTTCCCGTGCCTCGGAAAATCACCGAAATGCGCATGGTCTTCTCACCCGGACCAAAGATGACTTGCATCGTGCACTGCCTTTTATTAGGCCAGCAAAGGGCTGCGAGATTGCTACCCGCAACGCACCTCTCTTGTCCCACGTTTCGAGCAGCCCGTTCACGAATGCCAAAGACACTTGATCCACATTCCAACGCTCCCAGAGCTGGAATTGACCNTTTCCCGTGCCTCGGAAAATCACCGAAATGCGCGTGGTCTTCTCACCCGGACCAAAGATGACTTGCATCGTGCACTGCCTTTTATTAGGCCAGCAAAGGGCTGCGAGATTGCTACCCGCAACGCACCTCTCTTGTCCCACGTTTCGAGCAGCCCGTTCACGAATGCCAAAGACACTTGATTCACATTCCAACGCTCCCGAAGCTGGAATTGACCGTATTTGGGAACCCTGGACTCTCTCCGCGACCGTCGTGACTGCCGCCACCTCGGGCTCATCGGGCGCCCTGTACCGCACCGGCTCTTGCAGGAGCTTGCGAAACAGCCGGTGGAAGCGCTGGATCTTTGGAAGCTGCTCATCGACAGACTTGTTCTTGAGGTTGGTCCGGCGTCTTTTGGACAGGTTATGCCTCTTGGCCCATTTTCGCGCCTACCTGAAGGATGCGCGAAAGGACGCCGCTCGTTGATCCCCGGGGTACATCTCTCACACGAGCTTCCGGAACGTGATCATCAGCCACAGGGTCGACACCTTCAGCTTCCTTTTCCGCCGCTTCACAAACCCCTCGTACAGTCGCTTCTCTGCCTCAGGAAACCACCGCTTAGGCTGCTGTTTGGCGAGGAGGCTCTTCGTTACGTCATCGGCTGCCGCCGCGACCAATTCCTTCTCGTTCTTGGCCCACTTCACTATATTGCTGTAGGGAATCTTGAGACGATCCTCCAAGAACTGAAGAGGCGTGCCCTTCTCCTCCTTCCAGAGGTGTTCGGCGTTGTCCTGGAGGATGCGCAGCTGGTTGACCGCGTAGGCGTTGAACCTGAAGTCGTATCGCCTGCGCTTGGGAGCCCCACGAGTGTCCTTGGGTTTGCGGTCCATAAAGCCGTCGCTATCCAAGTCGAGATCGAGAAAGCGCTTCCGCTGGAGGACAAGCGAAGTCGTCCCCGTCGCATGATCGAACTTCACGTGCCAATAATGCCCAGGCCCGGCTGCTTCCCACGGCAGGACACTCCCTCCGACATCCTTCCGTAGCATGCGCCGCAGCCGCACGCCGTTGGACATGTTTGCACTGCTGTGCTGCGTTCTCACGTGGATCCCAAGGCCTTGCTCGTTCACGAAGGTCATGGGACAGTGAGGGCAAGATCGGCGGGACTCCGGGGTCGGAGGTGGGAAGCTTATACCGGATATGAGCTCTTTCACTCCACCGCGAGTCCGCTCAATCTGCATGGCAAGGTGGAAGCAGGGCGGAGTTGCCGCGGGGGTGATTCAACGAGTAACGTCATGTATCGTTCGCTATGGAGTGTGGCGCTTTCGACCTCAAACCTCCGTGGAGAGCCGAAAGCTGTCTGTTTCGTTCGTGACTATTCAAACTAAGTATCAAGCAGAGAACGTGCACTGTTGTGACGCCAAAACAAAGTCGCCGGCATCCGAACTAGAATATCTGTCTACACTTGTTTCTTTTGATGTTCTGGTCTTGCTTGGAAAAAAGGGGGATGGACGAAAATTTCATCTTATCATGTCTACACAGCGGCAGCATTCCACGAATCTGAGAAAGGTACAACTTTCCGGAGTATTTGCACCGGAGTTGGCTCGTTCCAGCAGACGCAGTTGACGAGAACTCTACACTCCTTCACTTGCGTGGGCACCTACAGCAAGAAACGGCGTGCGAAACGCAGTCGTTGCCAGCAGAGGCCAGCCCCAAAACTACGAACTTTCTCCTTGTTTTCTTTTATTACGCGCCGCTACTGAAAAATAATTGCCCTCATCATGTCATCGTTTTCACGGGAGTTTTCTTCAAAAACGAAAATAGTGTATTACACTACACCGGCAGCGAAAAGTAACTGTGTGCTCACCGGTCCTCGGCTGCCAATCGCGAACGCGTTGCAGATGTTGCCGCCTAAAGTGCCTTTGGCAGCTCTCTCCCTAGCTTGCTTCCCGCGATCCACGGCCTTTCGCCTCGCGGTACCCGCAGCAGCAGGTGGATGCTGAGACGGCGGTGCAGCACCTCGCGCGCTGCCGGCATCTTGTTGGGATGAAGAGGACAGGCGGGTGCTGCTGGTAATACCCTGCGTTTCGCCGTCAATCTGCGTGACCCACTCTTCTTCGTCAAAGACACCGTTCTTCTTCAACCCCCACGCGCTCTCGATGGCGTCCCATCGCTCCTTCGCAACGGAGTTGCCCGCCTTCACGTGTGCTTTGATTGTCTCGAAGTGACGGTCAAGAATCAGACCCCTTTGTTTCAACTCTGCAAGTTTGCCAAGCTCTTTCAATATCCCATGGGATAAGGGATTGCACTGGGACATGACCCCCCTGCACCGCAGGCAGCTCGTGGCACGCTGCACGTTGCGTGGCACGCACGCTTCTCTCGGGGGCACCCAGGGGCACGACGCTTGCGTACAATGCCCACCCTCCCCCTCTAAAAAANGTTGCGTGGCACGCACGCTTCTCTCGGGGGCACCCAGGGGCACGACGCTTGCGTACAATGCCCACCCTCCCCCTCTAAAAAATACAAATATTGACAAGTGGGGTAAGTACCCCTCCCAAATCCATTAGTCTACTCTCTACTCTGGGATCATTCCTGTTGGTAAACTCGTGGCTTCTGGGGAAAAGATGTTGTATTAATGAGAC